TTATAATGAATATGAAGTGTATTAATAACAACGACTAAGTAACGTTTTTATTAAAACCAAGTCATGTTGTATATTCAGTAAAATCATCCATGTAAATACGTTTGTTTGATCTTGGTGATAAATCATCAGTTGCCCCATCTGGATTGTTATTTATTGATTCTTGCAATACGCGATTCCTAAGTCGCTTAATATGTCGTAAGCGCTCTAACCAATTAGAAGCATATGGATTGTGACTGTTTTGTTCTAAAGATGATGAAACCATTGAAGCAAGCTATAACAGAAAACAACTTACGAATTTCATTATAGTACAATTTATATTCAAATAGACTAAAGATTTAAGTTATAATTTTTCTAAAAAGATATTAAATTTCTTATAAAACTTACATTGGCGTGAAGAGCAAGTTGTCGAGATAAAATAGCTAAGTTCTGATCAGAAATAATTTTTGGCTCACTATGTCTAATATGTTTAGCCAATTCTTCTTTTACTTGAACTGTAACTTGATTAGTACCATGATCTAAGGGCTGGATCACAACACATGCATAATTGAATTGTCCCTAAAGAAGCAAATAAATTGGTATATTTTAACCGCATTTGTAATAACACTATAATAATACATACTTTTACAGTTTGTATATTATATGGCTCTCCAGATTCATTATAAACAACAGTAACATAGTTATTTCCAATATGCTGCTTTTTAGATGTACACTTAGGATCACTTAGTTTTGTTGGCATCAATGTTGCTACATGAAACGCCACCTGGTAAAATTGTATAAAAATTTATTAAGGATTTAAAATGAAATAAAAATTTTAGTAATTTCTTTCAACCTGTGTAACATCATCTTGCCAAATATATGCAAAGTTTCCATTTTCACCATTACGGTCTAAGCCACCTAAAAACACGCTTTCATCAACATCTTTCAGTCGAACCAAGGTTCCTAATCGTTGCAAAAATTCTGTATATCGAAGTGATCCATGTTGATTAGCTAAAATTTCAGTTTCATTAGAAGCTTGTCCTGGACCAACATAAAGAACTCCAATTTTATGGGTTTCATATGGTTGTATTCTATCTAAGTTTGTCACTGCCCTTTGCACGGCCGTTGTTTGTGGCACCAACAAAGGTTTTTCTGAAGGAGAGCCAAAGTGTGCTGTATGATACAGTTGCAAAAACACAAAACTGTAATATGTAATTCAAATATAAATTTTTAATATAACAAAAATAGTTACTTACTGAATATTTTCATTTAAAAGTATTATAATATTACCTAGGATTAATACCAGTTTTAGGAGTATCTTTTACTCGAGGTGAATTTCCTCTACGAATATTATCCCATTCTCCACGAGATTTTTTTACAGGACTCATCACAGAAATTGTATGACCCCTATCACGAAAAGGTAAAGGCAAAGGAGGTAACATAGAAGGATCAGGTTTTTCATCCTTTTGCTAGAAATAATATGTACATGTAATTTTTTGTTGTTGTACACTATAATTATATACACACCTTGTCTGGAAGGTGATTACGTCCAATAGGTGGTTTACAATCTGATCCTAATAACATGTTTTTTTGACCAGAATCAAGACTAGATAACCGAGGATAAATTTGTGTAGGTGATTGTGGAGGTTTTGTAGTAGATGATTGAATTTGTGTTGTGCGTCCTTGTACTCCCAAAAAGTTTCCTTGGACCTGCAAAAGTACGTAAAAGATTTTCATAATATATCGCATAAACATATTACAAATCCTATTTATTTAAATACCATACCTGCACAGTAGTCGGCGATGGAGGAACAGTATTACTAGTAGTAGTCGTAATAATTTGAGTTACTTGCGTTGCACCTGGATAAGAACGTTGAGATCGCAGTGCACTTGGATGATCTGATGCATTTTCTGATGGAGGTGTGGTGCCCATACCAAACATTTCTTCTGGAATAGCTTCACAACTGACTCTATAAAAACATTATATCAATATCAATACATTTATACAATAATGAAAATTAGTAATCTAGTATCGATATGTATGTTGCAACTAGTATTAAAATTTATCTAATTAAAACTGAACAATGTAAGCTTTAAAAGTTATTAATTGTTTGCTAAATCAAAATAATAATACCTCATATCTTTTGCATATGTATTTTTCGCATGTTTTTTTAATTCAGCATCAAGTTTAACTTCTATATCGGCTGATGAAATATCTCGGTCTACTTGTTGCAAATTTAGCTTTTCTTTATTTAAAAATGGATTCTTCCAATTAGCACTCATTTCAGGACTAGAATTTGATCTGCGCACTGGATTTCGAGAACGACGTAAATCTATCAAAAATTTTTACTTTTTAATACACAAATTTTTCTAACTACTTGTCACGAAAGCTAAAATATAATACTACTTAATACCATCTTCACCATCTTCTAAACTTTCTAAACTATCACGTGAACTTTGCCTTGAAGGGCTCGGTCGAGCCGGAGAACCAGGTATTGCAATTGGACCCGATGATACAGAAGATATCACAGATTTCATGACATTATGATCACTTCGCACTTGATCTACATTTTTATCTGCAATATCCTACAAAAAACTTTTATAGATTTTTCTACACAATTTTTAAATTACATATTTTTAAGTTACCTCTATTTCGTCTCCAGAACATTCTGATGTAGATTCTTGTTGCTTTTGCATTAAATCTTGATTTGGCCTATATAAAGCCATTATGTCATATACAGGAAAATCTATGTTTGTTTCAAATTGCATAGAATTTTGAATTCTCATAATCCAAGACATATCGCCCGTAGGTCTACGCACATATATTTCAGCCCAACCTTGACACCAGCAAGCACAAAGTACATGCTCTTCTTGTTTTTCGCTATTGAGAATTTGTTCCAATTTCGACGATTCTATTTGATCTTTATCTGTTTTTTCTGCAGGATAATTTTTTTTTGTTACATCTAAATCTTCTGATGTTTTCTTTGACTCTTCTGTTGGGGAATTTGCAGCTGTATTTGCAGTAGAATTTCCATGACCTCCAGATGACTGCCTAGATAATTTGTCCTCTTTTGCTGTCTATATATTGTAATTATATATTTTAAAAAATTTGACTATAACAAAAGATTTCTGCAAATACTATCAATAACATGAAGCAATAATACCTCTGTACTCGATGCTCGTCTTAAATTTGATTGAGATGCTTTCCCATGTTCAGGGGATTGAAGACCAGGTTTACATGCAACCCAACAATTATCACAAAGTCCTCCTCGCATTGCTTTATTACTGCAACCACTTGTTGTTACTGTAATAAGTTTGTTACCAAGCAGCCATGTCATTGATTGACCCTCCTTAAGAAGAAAATCAGCAGCTGGTAACCTAAATATAAACAAATTGTACTTATTTATATTTTTATAATTAATAGAACATATAGAAATTTTTAATTTACCTTTTAGGGCGAGCTGAATAAGTCGAAAATGTGTATCGGGCCATAAGATCAATGCAAGTTTCGGTAAGTTCAACATGAAAAGTCATTAAAGCTTCATCGATGGGAGGTTTTAAATCAGAAACTTTATTATCTCCAATCATACGATTAGCCATTATTGGTCTTTCTCTCCTACCTCTACTGCCCTATATACAAAAATTGAATTAAAAAATTATAACAAAG